TACATCAATTATCAGAAAGTGTGTTTTATGTGTTTACATACAGACGTTACACTTTAGAAGATAACCAATGAGGATGCCATTCGTTACTGGTGGTGGTCCCCATTCCAGCAGAACAGTGTCATCATCCTGAATCCTGGGAATCAGCACCGGCACTATCTCTGGAACTGTTATACAGAAAACGTTTAAATATGTAAATAAATAAAAAATACATAAACTGAAGCTACCATTCAGGCAATTTAGCCAAATGACAATTCAGAATGATGTCAAAAAAATAAATAAAAATAAAAACTAACTCCAAATTTTTCTGGATTTCTCTGATAAATCCCTCAATTCATGTTCATTTTAGTTTATCCCGAAGCATGAGTCAGAGCAGAAGAACATGTCAAATTTTAAAACTGCAACCATATGGATCTTACTGTCAACAAGAGTGAAATTCATGGACATACTTGCCTTGCCTTGGTCTGAGGAGCCAATAGTCCTGACGGGGAACATGTTTACAGCTGGTGTTCTGTGTTTGTCTCACATTGTTTGCACACATTTATATTCATGATACATTATTTATAAAGGTGTTGTTTCATTCTCTAGTTGTGAGACTTCTTTGGAAGCTTTTTTTTCTTGTAAGATGTTATTTCAAGCATTATTTATCTTTCTTGTGGCAGATATTTAAATTGTGAAAAAAATAGCAAACGGGAAGAGTTTTGTAGAACAAAAAATTAATAGTCAGATGAAATATATATATTTTTGGTTTGTTTCTCTTCTACTTTAGTTCAGATCTGTTTTATCACTAATAACCACACAGAGGCTGACAAAAGATGGCGGGGCTCTCTATCTTAGAAGTTAAGTGAACTGCAGAACAAACAGCAGATCTCAGACTAATGACATTCAAACTTTAAGCTGTAGCATTAAACGTACCTTGTATGAAAAGGAAATTTCTTTCCTACTGTCTGACATCAAAACCTGATTAGGTTCAATAAGAAATTTTCTCTGCACAAGACACAACCACATCATGATGCTGCCATCACCGTAAGTCGTTGTGCGGATGGTGTTCGCAGGCTTTATCCTTTAATCTTCTACATCTAACAATGGTCTTTATGGCCAAACATGTCACTGTTAGTTTTACCATAGCACATCTCTCCAGAAATTAAGGTCTTTGTCTCTGAGCAAATGTGCTAAGTGTGATCTAGCCTATCATATTGCTTTTGTAGTAGTGGCTTCTTCCTCACTGAGTGGCCTTTTGTTTCACTGACAGTTCATCTTCAGGTAATTCAGCTTTTACTTTCATTTTGGGATTGATTTTAGGCCAAAACATGTTCATCTCTGAAACACAGAAACCACCTTCCGTCTCCACAGCATTATGGCTAAACATTTCCAAGGTGTTAATATGTTAGTATTGTTTGATCAAATAAACAGAGTTCCTCCAAGACGCTGGAAAATGTACCTAAGAATGAACCAGACTTGTTCAATTTTCTCCCCTTGATTTTGCTTAATTGTTTCATCGTGCCAATCAAGAATGCGCTTCTGTCTTGAAATACATCCACGGCAAAATAAAATTTCCCAAATGTTTTTAAATGAATGGAAATGGTAGTGTATGTAAACGTTTTGGATTGAGCAAGGTAATAAAAAAAAATCTCAGGAAGAATATTATCTATGTGAATGCAAAAGGAGGATGGATGACTTGTTGCATGGCTGTGCCAACTTACCGCCCTCTGGAGTATCAAAGTTGACTGGATCGCTCTTTGGTCCTTTTCCCTTCTTGTTAAAAACGTTCACTGTGAGTCTGTACTCAGAGAAAGGTTTCAACCCTGACACAATGACATGACTCCTGTTTCCAGGGAAAGACTTGGAGTTATGCTCCTCTAAAATCTTGTCAGGACTCAGGAAGCTTTTCAGTCTCTCCCAGTGAACCTGCGACATAAAAGATGTAAAGAATAAGAAGTGCAGAGAAATAGTTTGGATAATGAAACAACGTCTTTGAAAACAATCTTTTGCAACCCACCAATCTCTAGTCTTACACTACCAAGAGCATGTTTCTTAAGGGCGTGTGAATACAACTTTAAAACAAATTCCTTCACTAAATAAAACATGTACATCAACTGTTTATTATATGTTGAATATTTGAAATATTGTGAAGATGTCAGGCGCAAGAACCTCAAAAAATTTGAGCAAGAAAGATTGTGTCACAAGAACACAGACTGAGAAAAAGCTTGATAACCACAAGAAAAGGCAAATTCAAATCTTTATTTATCCTTAAAGGAAGGTGCAATATTGTCTCTTCCTGATTTGAAAAAGACACAAACATTCATCTGGATTCACTGCTGTAATTTCATATACCAAGCCGTTATTTACTCTTGTATTAACATTCATTGTATTATAATCTACATTTATTTATTTTTTTAAAGGTACACAAAAATAACTTTTGCTACAACAGCCTTTTCTCAACTGTAATAATGACTGAAACTTAATTTCAGTTGCAAACTAAAAATGGGCAGAAGAAAAATAAAGTAAACTTACCATGTAGCCTCCCAAATGACCTCGCACTGTGGCTGGGAGAACTGGGCTCCAGCTGACTCTGAGAGCGGTGCTGTTGATCACCTCCACTGCTACATTGTGTGGAGCTGCAGTCGGAACTTAAAAGGAAGTAAAAAAAAAAGAAGTTACAAATCCTGATATATAGTGATTTTGACATTACAAGATATCTAAAAATTAAATACAACAAATTCAACATAAAACAAAATGATTTAAGATTAAGTAAATGATTTCAACATCAAATTTAAAATAACAAAACATGCATAGGTGTCATTTAAGAAAATGTTAAAAGATTTTTTTTTTCTCACAGAGATGTAAGAAAGCTTTTTTTTCCTTCTACTGGATTCACGGTAAACTAACTTATAATGAAATTAGTACAGTGGAAAAAACATTTGAAAGGTCTTTGTTTGGAGTGTGTATTGTAGAGCTACTGTAATTCTGGTTAGAGTCACAAATAAAAATGTGCATTCCATAAAAAAAACAATCAAAAAAACTACTTAACTTGATAGCAACTAAAGTTGCATTCAAAGCTAAATAATTCTAAATGCTATTACTGCAGTTTCTAAAAAGTTAAATAAAAGCAGTGCAGATGTTAGGGAATGGTGGAAAGCCCTCAACAGGCCAATCGTGTTTTTTGATCTGTCAATTCTCTCGAAGTTTCTGGCTCAGAGGTGGAAATTTGACTTTCTTCTCTTATACAAAGGTTATCTGCCACCTGCTAGAAATAACAATAGTGTTTCTCTTGTATTTGTCAGAAAGGTCAGAGGGGAGGAGAAGTCACACATGCACATGGAGAAAACCTTTGAGTAAAGGGGGGGAAATAAGAAAAGAACTCAACCTGACACATTTTCCTGGAGACAGTGCCAAAAGACAACTGAGGAAGCAGATGGAAAAGATATCACAGGAAGTTCAAAATACAGAATGAGAACAATAGCCTGGTGTGAAAAATTAGGAGGGTTTATTAAGTTCTCAAATATTAGAAAACACATAAACTGAGCAGACAAGATCATAGGACTCACTATCTTCTCCAGAGTAACCGGTTATGGGTTTTGGTTCTGGACCCCAGCCGAGGCTGTTCCTGCTCTGGATTTTGATCTCGTACGGTGCAAAGGTGGATGTGTTCCTGACGATAAAGGAGGGTCTTGTGACCAGGTGCTCATGCCATTTATCTTCCACTTCCAGTTTTCTGTAGGAGATCTTATACTCAAGTCCTGGACCGTTGTACTCAGTAGGTAACAGTGGCTACAAAATAAAAGAGGAAAAATGAAATAAAGATAGTTACCATACTCTGTGGCCAAGCCAGTTTTCAGGCCCATCAGGAATATTGACATCGTGTTCTAAAGCAGGTCTTGTTATATCCTGACTGATTAATGCTTATTAATGAAATCAAGCCCTAATTTGATGAAAAACTACATTTACTTCCATCTGAAAAGAACAACAGTCCAGTCCTTTCTCTCCTTATTCAAGGCAAGACTGTTGATGTAGTCTCTTGTTTAAGACTGGCTTAACACAAAGGATGGAGCAGCTGTAGACTTTGTCCTGGATATGGACCAAATCACATTCTAGCTTTCCGAGAAACTGAATTTTGGCTTTTCATTATCTGCAAACAGCAGCCATAAAAAGTAACAGAATTAGACACTTTTAATAGATCACTGTGCATGTAACAAATCAAAATAAATGAGTTTCACTTTTATTATTTAAATGTTTCAATAATATTCTAATTTATTAAGATGAACTTGCATTAGAACAACTCTAGAATCTTAGAAAGTTTTTTCCCCATTATTATTATTATTATTATTATTAAAATGAGACATTAACATAAAAAACCCTCTTACGTCCCAGCTGATTTCCATTTCATGGGGAAGGTGGCCATGAATCCTGATGTTTTCCGGGTTTATGTCTGGTGCTTCAAGGAGAGAAATAAATGGGTAAATAATCATGCTGTTGCAAAGAAGAGGATCAGTGGTTGACATCCTTATTTATGTCTGCTGTAATTTACTTGAATTACACTAAACCGAAAGGCAAGAATTCATATTTAATGATGGAGATATTTTATCTTGCTGTAAATAATGCTTTCAGAGCCACAGTGACATGCGACTTTTCTCTCCCCTGACTGGTACAAAGTCATATTGCTCCAGGCTGACTTTTACACCGATACCTTAGGAAAGGAAGGTTCAAAGTCAGACGCTTTCTGAAACCCACAGATAACCTCTCCAAAACATGCTAATAAAATAGAGGAATCATACCAGCAGGGGGTGTTTTGAGTCTCTCTGTGGGCTCACTAGGTGGTCCAGGTCCAATGGCATTAACAGCATAAACTCTGAACTGATAGTTAAGGTCTCCATGAAGAAAGAGCTCGGCTGTTGCCTGGTTACCGGCGACTTTCTGCAGCTCCTTCCACCTTCCAGGCTCCCAGTGGCTCTCCTCATACTCCACCACAAATTCTGCACAACAGATGAGTGAGGATCAGACATATTTAATCAGTGCCTTACTACTGAAACAAAACTAATAATGGATGGTCTCAGTTAAAACTATAATTGTTATTAACAGAGAAACAGAGAGGGTTCGTTCCAGTCAGAAGCTCAAAAATAATCACTTAGAGCTGGGTACCCTTTCTGTGCAGCTTATTAAGAATAGCATGATTAAAGACGGTCTGTCTGGGTCTATTTATTGTGCAACTATTTTTTTATGAACTCCACAGTGTTGATCTCATTTTCCAAACCAAAGAAATAGCATCTGTCATCAACTTTTTATGGAAAGGGTTTTGTTAAGTTAATGCAAAACCACATTAATTGTCATTGCTTATCCAGGTGGCAGCAATGTGTTAAGAAATAAGTCATCGTCAGAGGTGGTTCTTGAATGAATGGTACCCTGAGCAAACCAACAAGGCTTCTGCCTCATTCAAAACACACACACAGACACACACACACAACTGTAGCCCTTTCTGCAAAAAGTCCAAAACATTGACTTTTTATATTGAGAAGACATTAATCAAAAACATTAGGAACTAGAAGATTTTTGTGTTTTTGCAAAAGGAGTTAAATTTCTTCAGTTTCATATTTAACTGTCTTTAATATGAAATTATTCATTTGAGGTCTGAGCAGGCTTAAAATTGTAAGATTTAGAACCAGAGATGGTCAATTGGAGCCCAGACTCATTAAAAGTTGTGAAAAAACCCTTTAATTTAGCCTCAAACCAGGATGCCAACAGAAATTCGTAATATAAATCAAAATAAGGATGGAAAACATGAATCAGAGAAGCAGACCACCTTATGCTGCTTGCTGGATATGAAATAAATCAGAAACACTTTGGTCTCTCTTTACGTTTAACACAAAACAGTCAAATGATATGAAATGCATTAGGTGTGCCTTGAAATAGCTGCATATAAGAGGGCTTACATTATGCTCTTAAAGAAAACAAAACATTGAATAAGAAAAAACGAACCTTGGGAACAAGTTGAAAACTAGAAGGAAAAAAAAACAATAAGATTTTATTTCTCTTAAGACAGTTGAGAATATTTTCAGCATCCATTAGGAAACATATCAGACCTACTAATTTTGAAAGTCTGCAAGAAAAATTTGCCCATTTAAATTCTTATGATCCCTGTAATTTTCAGAACTAAATTAGCCCTTTCTGAAAGCATTAATGAGAAACAAGCTTTGCTGCTGAGTTTTATTTGCACAGTTGTTTCCAATCTTCACTTATTAAACAATATTATTTAGACTCCAATGACAGTCAAAGGGCTTGAATTTTCCCGTATTTTGAAGAAGAAAAAAGAAAAAAAGAAGAAAACAAAAAACATTTAGAGACATTAACAAATGCATTATATTCCCATTAAGGATAAAAATGCCTCCAACAGTGGTTTGCACATTTTACATAATAAGTCAGCTGGCTGTCAAACTTTTTTTTTTTAATCAAAACATACCACTGCAGTAACAAGCTCCCAATAAAAATCAGTAAATCTGCGAAAAGCTAAAAATAATGATTTCATATTCTGAGTCATATTATCTGTCGGAGTTCTCTTAAGCTAAGTTGTTGTGAGTGGAGACTCTATTTCGAGTACAGCTGTGTGGGAGAAAGTTTTATTCTTTTTTCCTTGCTTTACTTATTTGCTTGTTCAGTCAATAGAGTGGGTATCACCCTGTGTCGAGCGCAGAACTACAGTATGGCAATACATAGCATGTGGCTGAAACGGTAAAGGTTGCTGTGTGGCTGTCAATGAGAATAAGGGCTAATTCTCAGTTTATGTATTTAATCCTTACTGTGCTAAAGAATTTTGAATTATAAAACAATTACAGGGATTATTATGTAAATACCATCTGTATTTTATTAAAATCAAAAGCAGTCGGAGGCAAATTTGCATCAACATTCTGCAAGGGGTTAATGTTTCTAATAACTTGCTGGATAAGATGGGGTTCTTTGCACAATGGGCTTTGGTCAGAGAGCAAATGTGCAATTGATTGTGTGACAAGCAGCAGAATGATATGTTTGCTTAATGAGACATTCATGCAAGAACAGGTTGTGTGCTTGGAAGAAATAGGCTGGCACAAAAATGTCTTCATATTAACTTTTCATAAAGTGTGGAGCATAAAACACTTTGTAGATTACTTCTGCCATCTACAGTAACACTCAGACGACTCTGCAGTTGTCAGGCGTAACAGAGATTGACAAGAATCTGAGTACAGAGAGCTGGTGGTCCACTTTGTGGCAGGGCGAGGGAACAATCGTCTCTTTTTTAAACATAAACAAAACAAAGGAAATGATTGTCAATTTCAGGAGAAACAGGATTAGATCAAACCCTATTTCTATTTCCGTCATGGGTGAAGAAGTGGAGGTGGTTGAGGAATATAAATATCTCAGTGCTGGACAACAGACTGGACTGGAGAAGCAAGAGTGAAGCCATCTATAAGAAAGGACAAAGCAGGATGCACTTCTTGAGGAAGTTAAGATCCTTCAAGGTTTGCAGCAAGATGCTGCAGATCTTCCATATATCTGTTGTAGAGAGCTTCAACTCTTCTGCTTCAACTCATCTGTGGGGGCAGCAGCAGCATCAGAGGCAGGGACATTAAAAGGCGCAGCAGCCTGATAAAGAAGGCTGGTTCTGTTCTGGGGACGGACTGAGGAACCTCTGGAGATTACGATGCAAAGAAGGATTCTTTATAAAATCAAGAAAATTATGGACCAGCCTGACCATCCTCTCCAGAACAGAGTGTCTTCAGTCAGAGGCTTCTTCAAATTCACTGCAACACAGACCCCCCTCAACAAGAGATCTTTCCTGCCAACAGCCGTCACTGTCTGCAATAACTCTCTGAAGGATTTGAATTAATATGTTACAGCAGCATTTAATTTCCCTTAGGAGTTAATAAAGTGTTTTTGAATTTGAATTTTTTGATATAATGGAAATTGTACAAAGAACTTGTACAATATTTTACGAAATGAACACAAGAAAGATAATGTTGATAATATATTCAAAGTGTGGATTTTATTATTTTATTCTATGCGACAGATGCGCTCCCAGTTAGTGTGCTCAAGTGTGAAATATGCACATGTGCTCCTTCTATAGACCATCTTCTGTATTTCCTTTTGAAAGATTTAGAATGTGTTTTGCTCTTTATACGTGTTTAGGAACATGTTTATAGCAAGGGAAATGCTGATTTTGGATCCGTTCAAAATCATTTTAAGAGGACAGACTATTTATAAAAGCCTAATTGTCTCATAATTATTTATTGATGACATCACTGTGTGACCTAAAATGTAATATCAAACAGAATTGGAAAAAGTAAGGCTACATGAGCAGCTGCTGATGATCTCTGGGTAAAATGTTGCTAAGTATTAAATTATTCAGCAAAACTCCCACTCCTTCCCCTATACCCGACTTCAGATGCTCTGCTTTATTCTGTTTAAAGTTTTACCTGTCACGGAGCTGTTGTGATCACTCCCTGGTATCCAGGACAGAGTTACATTCCTTGATTCCTGATCCAATATCTTTAAACTCATAGGAGCATCAGGAGTATCTGGGAATAAGCAGTAAAATCAGTACAGAAACCTAAAATTATCATTTATTTTTTTAAAATTGAAGGAATTTCCAATATGATATCGTACCCAGTACAGTTAGAAAGGCAGTGGCAGTGTCCTCATCAAGACTTGTTCGAGCAATGCATGTATAGCTCCCCTGATCACTGATATTCACGTCCCTAATCTGCAACTGGTCACCTTCCATTTTGTACCTGCAAAAATAAGAACATTTGTTACAGCACAGAAGAAAAGTTTAAAAGATATCAGAAGAACTACAGTTACCAAAAAGCGTATTTTGCACTAATAACCAAAACAGAAGAAAAGTGCAAATGGGTTGTAGTTTAGACATATTTACTGGCATCCATGATGAAGATGTGTAAATCAGACTTGATATTGACACATTTTTGTTTCAGTAACATAAACTCACAGCCAACCTTTAATTTTAGTACAGTTACTTGGTATACTTGAAAAGTATACCATCTTTAGAAATGATACTTGTCACTGAAGTAGTACTGCCAAAAACTCTTCTAATTTAAATCTACTTAAGCCTTTATTCTTTATGTATGATGCAAATGACATTTTTTCAAGTTGGTTGGAACATTTACTAACATTAATTAGTAATCCACAATTTTAAGTATGGTGGACGACCTGTAGTGGGGTTCTTTCTCTTCCTTGTTTGGCATCCAGAACTACCTGAAATATCAGGCAATTTCAATAAATCTGGCCTCCAGTAAACTGAAAAGTAGTCATCAGTCGCAAAGAACCAAGGTCTCCCTCTGACTCTAAACATTTTTGGTGGACTAGACAATATTTGCTGTAGTAAATACAGTTTGCCATCAAAATCAAATCTATTTTATTTCACAAATCTTAGCATAAAGAGAGAAAATTTTAGGAAAGTTTAATATTATGTACATGTTTGGTTTTCTAAAATGGGCCCCTCTTGAAAAGGCCAAAGAAATGTGGCAAAGGGACATTGAAATGGAAATCAGAATTCATCTAGAGGTACTTATCACATTGTTTGGCCATTGTGTTAGCACAGTAAAAATTTACATTTAGATCAATCATGTGTGGAGAGATGTGGAAAAATGTTCTCAGTGCATCTGGACAGAACAGATGTAGATTTCATCTTTCTGTTGCTGCACAGCACAAGCATGCAGCAGAGTATTGGGGCTACTGTAGATAAATAAAAGAAAAATGGCCATGGAGGTGTAAAAAAAAAATAAATGTTAGACTTAATTCCACACATTTTACAAGACAACTTGGATATTCTCTGATGTCGAAAAGCTGTAAATTTGTGAGAAAAATTACCATGTTTCATTATTAAAAGCATAAATTTGCAATGTTAAAATTAGGATATCCTCTGACAATGTATAGTCAAAAAAACTATAGCTCTGTGCATTTCAGACATTTGCAGCAAAAAGTGACAAATCATAGCCTCTGACTGACAGTGGTGGAAGGTCCTTCAAAATTAGGAAAACCAGGTGCAGGGCTGTTATTTATTTATCTTATTTGTCATTATTCTGCATCAGAAAAGCGTTTCTGACAGGGCTGCACATCGATGCCCAAATGGCCCTTTCAGCTGTTGGCGCCCTATGCAGCCATCTGTATAGCTCTTTCTCTCCCTCTATATATTAACCAACCTGTTGAGCTGCCATCTGGGGATAAGTGTGTGGCTGGCAATATAATGACTGAAATATTGGAGAATCAATAATTGTGGGACTTAAGATGTTATTAGAAATAAATACTACTTAACATTAGATGTTTTAGAAAGATGGAACTGCATAAAAAATTATTTGTTCTATTATTATGTCATTGCACTAAAAGAACAATTTCTTTTAAGGGTTAGTACACATTTCTAAAAATAAATAAATAAAAATGTTGCTGATTCTGTGTCCAGTCCCTGGCTGAGAAAAGCAATCCCTTTATTAAAAAACAAAAGAGGAGTAAAAGGTTTTGAGTGTGAGATGCCTTAAATGTGATGATTTCTGTGTGTCTATACCGAACAGGCCGAACAAAAGTACTCAGAAGCTCAGCAAAAACAACCAACACAAACACAGCCAAAGCAAAGGCAGGTACCTGAAACTATTCTCAGAAGAGCGAAAGATCTCCTCCCCATCTTTCCTCCAGATCACCTCAAAGGTGCCCTGCAGACTTCTGTCATATTCTGACCGGCACATCAATCGGGCCAAATTCCCACTGCTGATCTGCGCATCCCGAGGAGGAGCCACAATTTTTGTTGGGTCTGAAGAAAAAAAAAGCATAATTTCAGGGAGGGACAAACAGAAAAATGTGATGACTTGAAGACAATGAAATAAACGTTTCTAACTCCAGCCTGCTTCAAATTAATTAGGGCAAATAATTTGGCCCAAATTATTTCAGCGCAAAAATGGGTCTCACAGTAACCGTTTCTGTGATTTAGATGACTAAGCAGTCAAATGTTAATCATCTTGCACTGTAAAATATTAGATTATGATTGTATGATGATTGTGGTAATCTTTTTTCCAGGACAAGCATCTTTTATTAAGGCCAGTAGAAGTAAGCTACCCTGTTCAAATATATTTAATAGCAACAAATAAAATTCTACTTTTAATTTTAAATAATAAACATGCAAGTTTTCCATTAAGAACAACATATAGAGATGATCTTCCTAACTCTGCACTGTTCAGCTAACCTAATCTTTAAGTACTTTACTAAATAGCTCTGCACACATACTGTAACTGTCTAAGACATGCGTATCAAATGTAACTCGAAATAAGAAATGCCTTTGAGAAACTGTTTTTCGGTTCATTGACAAAAGATGAATGCAAAGATTTTGCTGACATACCTTTCACCTCCAGCAGAGCTGTGAGACTTGACATGCCTTCTCTGTTGCTAGCCATGCAAGCATATTTCCCCGTGTCACCTTTTTCTGCGCGGATGATTTCCAAGAATTGCCCATCTTCCAAAACATGAAATCGTTCTCCTTCAACAGCTGTCCCCTCCTTGGTCCTAGATGGAAAGATTTTGAAAATATCAATCAATCTTTCTTTTTTATTATTATTTCAAACTGATTTCAAAGTTGAAAAATGTTGTGTTGGTATGGGGTTTGTGTCCTGGGCACAGTGTCAGCTTTCTCATATAAAGCCATATGAAGGCATCAAATAAGTTCTCTGCAGAACAAATTGTGTAATCATTCCCAGAGAAGCACAATAAATGTCTTTAATTGCAAACAGGTTGGTATGGAAACAAAATTGCTATGTAAATTTTATAAACTTTCTGCAATAGAATTATTAATCGTATTTCATGTTTTGTTTTATTCTCCTGAACATTTTAATTCCTTTCTAGTTATTGGAATGTCTTTCTTGTGTTTTCTTATACCTGCCACTGAATCTGCAGATGAAAATGTTCTGGGGAAAAAAGCACAAGTTGGTGGTTTGTGTATTTGCTCTTTGAGCTCAATCGTTTTTCTATATGGTCCCAGATGAATAAACAAATAAAGGAAAAGGAGATGGTAAGTTCATTCTAAAGATGCATTTAATAAAAACCTTTTTGCAAGTTAGAGTACTGCAGAAAATGCAAGTATTTCTAAGAAGATATTTGAGTTGTTTGGTCCACATATAGTTACCAGAATTTACTTAGATCAATCTCAATAGAAACTTTTTCTAAAACCAGACTTTTTTGCATGTGACATGTAAATATACTCAAATCAGAATAATTTCTTTGCTGCTTGCTGTATTAGCTTAAATATAGTCTGTTTTAGATGTAGATAAAGGGGACATGATAGAGGTTTTTATTATTTTAACACAAAAAAAGATAGAAAACGAGCCTTGTGAGAAGTATGGCAGATTGTTCTCTACTTACCAAGAGATACTGGATTGAGGAGAGCTGAAAACACTGCAGTTCATGACAATGGCCCCTCCTTCTATCACTGCATACTCTTGGAAGTCCTTTGTCAGCATAAGAGGTGCAATATCTAAGAGCACGTTGAGGGAAGAGAGATTATAACAGCTTAAATATATAATAGCAGAATACATAGACCCAGTCTTTAGATCCCCCTATCTAACCACATTTCCTTTCCACAGAGTATGCTAAAAGGAATAGGCCTCTGTGTTTCTGTGTTTGCAGCAAGAGACCTGGCAGGCTGCTCATGGTTGAAATCTTGCGATCTTACTCACTCATAACTAAGACATTAATGTTGGCAAGAACACTGCCATGACGATTGGAGGCCTCGCACTGGTAGACGCCGCTGTCCTCCGGTCCGGCCTTGTGGAGCATCACAGTTTCGTCAAGCACTCGTCTGTTGTTCTCTCTGTCATCTGACAACAACAAAATGTCAAAGCCATCGGGACCAAAGGCACAATTAGTTTTTGTCAGTAGAAAATTTGAATGTGTTTTTTTTTCTCCTTCAAATGGATTCTTTGTACCAAAAAGCATTTTTTAATCACAAAAGAGCAAATCTTTGATTAGAACATTTTCTGTAATTATCAAGAAAACAATTTTCAGTGATTATTTTTGGGGTTTTGAAGTGATTTTCAGATTGAAGCTCCAACTGTAGTTTTTAATAAGAAGAAACTTTTGATGACATATTTTGAGTTGCAGAATATGAAGTAATCAAATAAAGAATGCAGTCTGCGGACAAACTAATAATGTTGAAAATATTTTTGATATGATTTAACCATTTGTTAAGCCATTTGCTTTTCTACAAAATGTATTCAATAATGATGCTTAGCAAGGTTAGCTTTAGTAAAATACGTTTATAAAATCAACTCTTATTTGTTAATTCATGAAGCCATTTAAAATCCAAAGGTAACCAAAGTGCTGAACAGGTCAATGAAATACAAAGTTGACAAATAAACAATAAAAATCATCAGCAAAATATATAAAAGACAAAGGAGTGACCTGATGCTCCCTGGGATTAAAAGCCAATTTGAAAAGATTTTAATTCATTTAAAGCTCCAGTAGACCTCACAGCAGCCTGGGAGCTGCGGCTGAGAAGACTCTGTCTCCCGTGGCAACAAGCCAGGTTCTGGGAACAGCCAAGAGGTTGAGATCTTAGAGTTTTACTGGGGATGTGAGGATGTAAAAGCTCAGAAAGATAAAGAGGTGACAAACCATTAAGACATTCAAAAACTAAAAGCAAGATCTTAAAATCAATTCTAAAAGGAGCAGACAGCCAATGGAGGGAATGCATGCACACGTATCTCCCTAGTCATTAATTATACATATGTTGTCTGTGGAGAAATTAAAACTGAGTACCCCTTAGCGAGATGCAATGAAGACAGTACTCCAAGAAAATTCAATAGTTTCACTGTACATCTAAAATCGATATGCTTTTGCAGCAAAGTCTCTCTAATTAACCCTGTACAACACTTAAAGCAGTGAAATGACATAATGACCTCTGTGGTTCTGTGGTTTAAATGTTGCTGGACATGTTTTAAGTGTCCTCCTTAAAGTGATGAGCAACAGAACCAAAGCAACACAGCCACGATTATTGTTTCTGACCTTGGAGTATTTTTCCATTTTTTCTCCACGTTATCACTGGGGTTGGTTTTCCATCCACTGAGCACTTAATGAAAACGTCTGACCCGTTCACAGACAGCTGGTTCTGGGGAGGCTTTGCACGCCATCTCGGTGGCTCTGGAAGATGTCAAGAAGAACTATGTTTGTCTCAGCGAAAAACAATGCGTCATTGGTTCTGTCAGTAAAGACTAACCTTCTACAATCACATCAAAGTAATGGTCTGCCTTTCCGGCTGAATTTTCAGCCATACACATGTATTTCCCCTCATCCTTCTCATCCACAGTACTGATGGTCAACAGCTTCTTAAAGTTATCCAGTTTTATCCGATCAGTTAGAGTTTCTCCCATTTTCATCCATGTCATTTTAGGAGTGGGACTACAACATAAAAGAGCAAAATGTTAGAAAATACAACGTTAAACGAGACATAATGGTGAATATGCATGAGGCTGCTAGCAACAACAATGTATACTAAGGTTTAGAAAGTGGTTACTAGTTTCAGACTGCTAAAATATTATTTCATACCAGCTCCAAAAGTTTAATTCATCTTGTTCATGTTTTTCTTTTTTTTTTAATTACTGCTATCAAACTAAGCAGCATGCTATTTTAACAGCTGACTGCAGCCTCTCAACCCAAACTAATTTAATCCATAATAAAGCCACCCTTGTTATATCTTAATATCACAACGTCTCTGTAAAAATATTAGAACCCTTGGTGAAGAAAATTATTTGCAGAGCACTTCCTCTTAAAGTTGTTGTCTGCAGTGACGTAATTAGACAATTTTTCTTCTTTTTGTTAAAAAAAAAACACTATATGAGATACCATCATAATAATATTATCAAAATCGGAGAATCTCATACCAGCCCATGCTTACAAATGATAGTGATACAGTAAGATGAACATACTATCCTCCTGGTATACACTCAAGGTGCAGATCCTGTCCTTTCAGCAACAGCTTCTCTGATTGGACACCAGAGGGCAGCAGTAGGCTGGGTGCTCGAACTGGTAGCGCTATGGATGCATTTGACAAACAACAATCTTCCTCATTTGTGGGCAAAATTAAATCAAGTACCGGTAAAAGTTGGCTATCAGTACATTTTAACAAAACACAAATCAGCTTCCTGATTAGTTAGTCACACACCAAGTCTTTCACTATCACTTACTGGGACTGACATTCTCAGAAGAGTTGTTCTGCGGTTCCACTGAAACGAAAAATCATGACATTAATAGTGCTAAGGACAGATGTGCTTTGGTTTCCAGTTAAACATGACGTAAATCCCTCCTGCTTAGAATTAAAACCATTGAAAATGAGCAGAAACACTTTTGTAATAGTGAATTTAAAACGAGCGTCAGGGTTTTGGTTAAACCTACGTCTCTCCACCTTGACGGACAAGGGCATTTTCTGGACAATAGTGCGTATCCTTTGGAAGACAGCGTTGCAGCCGTAGTCCTTGCGACTGTCTTCTGGTAAGGCATAAGCAAAGTACAGGTTTCCATCGGTTCCCATGGAGACCCTCTCATCCTGCTTTATGTGCTGCAGACCTAGAAAACAGCATATCTGAATCATTAAAACGTCAATATCAAAAATGTCTGTTTCCTGACATTTCTTTTTTTGCATTTGAAAATCACTTATGAGGTTTAATAAGAGAGTAGAATACACAGGAGTATAATATGTGATAAATGAAATGGAAACACCCGTAAGCGATTCCTCATCTAATCGTGCTCCATGAAAGCAAATTTGTTTCATACAGATTTACAGTTCAGTGAATTATCAACCCATGAGCCGAGTTTAACAGATATAGCCATCAGTCACTTGTGGTTTTATTAGTGTGAATAAAGAAACCTTATTTACATTTACAAATGATATATAGATGAACAAACACAACTTCACTCAGACGCACATCATCATGGCAATGTTTTGAGATTATCTAAGAAAAAAGAAAGCTCTTCAACACACAACTGTTTCACCATGTTCAGGGCATGCAGTCATTGTCGACTCTGGACACATACATCTGCCAAGTCATAGCAACACTGGAGCTGAATTTGTCCCCAAACGTTTTCATTCAGTGCATCAGTAAGCATCTCCTCCTGAACACCTGAAGAACTCTTGTAGTTTTTTGTTTTTTTTCAGACATTCATCTGGTTTGTCAGAGACAGATGAGAACTTGTAAGAGGTTCAACAGAAGCAGGATTCCCCCTCCCATTGCAGGAGCACTTCAGACAAAGTCTGAGGTTACGTTTTATACAGTAAATCACTTTGTTCTTGAAGATGGCAGGAAAAGGCTCCTGATTGGAGACGAACGTCTGCGTCTCAAGTGGGAAGCTTTAATGCCAGTCAACTTAAATGTAGCCACTACTTCACAGGGCTTGTAGGGAGTCATCCAAGACGGTGCATACGTTTGAAAAACCCTGGATGGTGCATTTTGTAGAAAATTAAAACGTCAACAATGGCAGATCTCAGATAATTAAACATTCATCTAATTCAGCCCAGTCTGTGTTCTTCAGGAGTAAATCACATCAACCTTGTGAAATGATCATTCACGTGTGAACAGAGGTGAAACATGCCGAGATTTGAATTCTAGTGTTCATTCCTTTCGTGCACTTGAATAATTGAGTGCAAGAAGCAAGAGAGAGCAAAGACATACCGAGCATATCTCTGTAATTCCAGGTGCTTTACGAGTCCTTTAAGTTCGTTTTGTATCACGCTAGAAGTTTCTGACGGGCATCTGCTGAACTTACGAGCTACTTTATCCCTAATTATCTCATTTTTTTTTAGTATTTTCTTTTTATTTTTTGTAGATGTACAACTTTATAAGGTTATTTGGGTTTAAAACCAGATGTTTACATTCACTACCCATAATCTTTATTTCTCTATATCTGACATTGAATCAGATGCTTATAGGCCTAAATAATTAGAGAAGTCTTTCTGACTTATTTCAAAGTCAGAGCTTTAAAGACCACCAGATTGTTTAGCTGTTTTGTAAGCTGTAAGTTAAATCACAGTTCCACACAGCATTCCTATGTGGTTTTATGGAAAATCAAAACAAGTCACTCAAGATGTAAAGAAGAAAACTGAGGATGTCAATAGTTATTTTCCATATATAAGTTGCGCGTTTTACCCCTGCACCACCGCCACAACCATTTAATTAGATTTTTTTAAAAACTTACCATAAAAGAAAAAGAGTGTTTGGCTTTTATTGTGAATTTTTAACTAGACAGCTATTAAAGCCTAAAAGGTTCGTTGCAAAGGTTATAAACACTTGCCTAATACCTAACCACAACATTTTTTTCTAAAGGACAAAAAGCTCCAGTAATTTTCATTCACTGTGAATTGCTGTCTCTACTGCAATGTCCACAAGTACTTTGATCCCAGGCCGTAAATCCCTTCAAGATATAGACAGGTTCATGGTGCATCAGTATTTTAAAAGGTGAAAGCACACATGTTTTGCATCTATTTTGAAAGGCATATGCATGCAAATAATGTCTCTAGTCTGGAAGAATTACACACGTACATCACTAATACAGCAGAGTAGCAAAAGTCAAAGAGGACACAAGAGTCCGTCATCTCGCTGCACTCTCTCATTGAGTTTGAGCCAGAATACAACACACTATAGAATATTTTCAGTTTAAAGTATGGCACAGAACTGACTGCAGAGGCTGAAAAATATGTTTGTTCAGATTCAGTTCTTAAAATGCTTTACCCAGTAAATCAACTGATCACAACTGATTCAAACGTTAGAAGGTTTTAACAAGCTTCACATGACTCTCTTATAAACATGTTGGATTTCAATGATCCAACATCTGTATAAAGTCCAAAAGACCCATCAGAAATTAAACATTTTTATTACTGTTAGTTTTAAGATGCCAAACGTCACCCCTTGAGCTCCTCAGACTGCCTGACTTTGAATTTTATAATATCCCAAAACTGTGCATGCTCAGCATACTTTGCTACACAGATGTTGGAGATGGTTTAACACTCCAGATGTAGGTCACAAATTGGCTGAAAAGCTTTTAATAAAATGAAGGATAATAAAGTTGAAAGAGTTAATGTTTCATAACAGAATTGTTATGAAACAACTAATTTCATCCAAACTAATTTAATTTTACTTGTTCTTTCCACACCTTTGTTTTCTACAGATATGAAACTCCTGCAACATGCACAAACTTGAATTTCTATATGCAGACTTGTTTCACAGTGTGGCAATACTGAATGATTTACAACTTCAAACCCTGGAATAAGTGATGATCATGAAAATACAAACTAAAAACCTTGTATACCCATGGTAACTGAGTAAGCATCATGTACTGCCAGCATTTAGCAGCACAGCCAAAAAGGAATTTGATTATGACCAAACAGAGAAGAGTCAAAGTCAAAAACAGGGTTAAACTGAAAAAGCTTGATGAGACTTGAAAACTGCTGCTCGTAGACACTGTCCGTCCTGTCTTATTGAGTTTGAGCTAATTTACAAGCATTAAAAATGTTTGATCTTTAAATGTGCAGAGCTGGTAGAAACATTTTTTTTTTTAAATCACAGCTATAATTGCAGCAAAAAGTGGTTGAAAAATGTCTTGGCAAAAGGAACTGAATACAATTTTACAACACACTCCTCAGATTTTCCTTTCACTTCAAAATTATACAGTATTTGCTCCTGGTCTACCATTTCAAATTGTGAAAACAAACATTGAGGTTTGTTGCCGCAAATCTCAATGTTTAGTGAAAATACTTTCACCAAATTAGAAAAATAATTGCAGGGTTATTATTTGACGTACATGGCACACCAACATTGCATCAGAAGCTAAACAAAAATTTAAATAACTTGAATCTTAAAAGAAAAATATTTTTGTGAGTATTAATTTGTTTTCAACATGAGATAAAACAGGAGCATGGGGCTTACTCTGAGTCATCCAGTAGATCTCACGTGGGGCCACACCTTCTGGGGGGTTACAGTGAAGAGTAATTGGATAGCCCTCCTTAACGACAATGGTATCCAATGTTTCCTTTGGGAACTTTGGTGAAGCTAATAAATACAAACATTGGGGAAAAAAAAAAAAGATTTTATGACAATCGTAACAATTTGTTATTTTTCTCATGTTCGTATGTAGCCTTCACTTACTGGAAACTACGATTTCAATCTCCTCCGTCATGGCAGTTCCCAGCTTATTGGAAGCGAAGCATCTGTATTTACCCCTGAACTGGCCAAAGTGCTTTTTGTGAAACATGAATATCCCATTTCTGTTGTCTATTTTGACTGTCGGGATGTTTGGCAGGTTTAGCTCCTGGCCATCTTTTGTCCATGTGTATCTGTTGGAGTAAAATATGTACCCAGATTCTATCAGTCTGTTTTTACCAAGACTTCTCTGATTTACCTAATCTGTGCAAACTGCTATTACTTACTCTGGTGGTGGGTTACCCCTGGCTTCACATCTTATAGTCAGTGTATTGTCAAAAGGAAGTGCAATAACAGGACCTGCTGTATGGTTGATTATAGTTGGAGGTTGCTCCACTTTAAAATAAAAACACAAAAGGAGAAGTGTTAAAATCGAAGCAGCGAGAATTAAATTGCAACTCACACATTTGTTTAGTCTGTCTGTTTTTGTTTGTTTTCAGCTGTTTCTTTCTGCTTCATGTGACGCTGAGAGAAAAACCCTGTGTAATCTGAGCAAACGCTAACCTAAAATAGCACAGGAATGCTTGATTGCCATGTATTTGTCACTTTAAAACAAGCCTTCAACCTTTGCCACATAAACAATTTACCTTAACCTTTCCATTGTTTGCTAAGAGTTTTTAAAAGCAGTTAACATTCTTGCTCTGGAAAGGTAAACACATGTGTTTCGACATCAAAAAGGGAATGCCATATTGTAGAAATCTTCCATTTCAATGAAGCGTTGTAAGTCAACATGACATAACAGGACTGTCAGCAAGAACTACTAAATATAATTTCAGTTTGCTCTGTGTCAGTCCTACCTTCGAAAGGTATATTAAGGCTTCTGGCTCCGGATGTAAAGCTCCAAAGCAGAACTAGTAGAAGGTCGCCAGGCCTCCTCATGATTCTTAATGAAGAAAATCAGGAAATATGTGTGGATCAGCTGTTTTCACTTGAAATTCGCAAGGCACAGTGGACCTGCAAAGGTAGAAATTGGAAAGCAGAAATCCTGTGTTGAGCATTGTGATGTATCAGGGGATGCTCACAGATTAGTGTGCAAGACTTGTTCTCCTAGGATATGATGAGATTGTAGGTTTCAACATTAAAACGCAAAAACATTTGTTATCAAAGTGGAATCTGTCACATGGAGCGCCATGCTGCTGCTGTCAACATGAGCTGCTGCCATAATGAACCCTGGGTTTCAGGTGAGTGTTTTAAGCTTGAGACGTTACTCCATAGAGATGATTTGTCTCCATGCTTAAGGCTCTTACTTAAGAAATGAAGTAGTTTTTACATTACCCTGGTGTGTGAACATAGTCAACAAATAAAAACTAAAATTCTGGATTTTATTAGTCTATTCCTGGGTTGCTTTTGTTTGTTTCTTTTTCCAGGGTTATGGTTTTATTCCTTTATTTGATTTGCCTGAGAGCTATTCATGTTTTGATGTAGATCTCCCAGGTTTCTCTCTTACTTTAGGCTGATCTATTCTCAGTGATTTTGGTTAGATAATTTTTCTCACTAAGCCAAGAAAATAGAGAGCATCACACTTCACTTAACATACATTTATAAAAACCTCTCTTATAAATGTACAAGTCAAAAAGATAACACTTTTAGTGTTATGTATTTATTACACATGCATGTCTTTTTGCTTAACAGATATGCTAAATTGCTGGAACATTACGCTAAGATATTTAAACTGGCTGGCGTAACTTTTAGTCGTTTGCTGTGTACATTTTTCTATTGTGGAAATTAACACGTCGATTTCTGACACCTACTAGAATGAATATGTGATCAATTGCAATGTAAAAGTAAAACTGGTGTAATGGCACTTTAATAACCTGACCAAAACAATGCCTGTTCAATTTTGATGAACATTTTTGATAAGGTCAATTGATTTGAGACAATTTAACACAGGAGTTGTGTTGAGAACTTAACCATTTATGGTTAAGTTCAAACCACAAATGGTTTGAACTTAACAGTTCAAACCATTTATTTGAACTGTTAAGCCGACTGGTGGTGGTGGCATCCCCATGACATGCTTACTGTAAACTCAAATGGCACAAAGGAAAGGCTTAGCTGTCGTCTGCTACGATCACTAGATTCAAGATGGCAGTCTATAAATTGGACTAAGTCACTCAGTGTTTCACAGCTTAGCTCTCACAGCTCTGAGACTGTGGCGGCAGGGGTGCCTGTGCCAAATGGGTTCACCCTGCAGCTAATCCCACTATCAGGAGAATAAAGGCAGGGACCTCCAGCAGTCATACAGCGTAATGCAGCAGAACGGCTGCGAACTACCCCGAGCTCTACAGACAACACAATTGTTTTGGACTAGATTTGGGATTAAGCTTCTTTAATTTAGTATCAATTAAACCAAATTAAGAGATTGGGGATTATTTGCAGTAGGGGTTTGGGATTATCTATGGTGGTTTAGAATAAAATCTAATCTGGTCCAGTGTTTATTTCACAGCAATGTCATAATCTTCCTTTTTTCTTAACAATTAGGTGACCCATGCAAAATTGGTTAATGCGTGAAATATACAACTGTCTATTCAATTTCATAACAAGTGCACCTCTCTCTGCTTAGTGAGGTATGGATTTGGTGATCACCTGAATCCAACTGAGATGTGAAAGACTTGGGAAAGCATGAAAGCTGTCATCAGACATTATTGAACTTAGAAAGTTTTATTTGTGTTGGTCTGAAAACCCCACATCATTGTGATGTTGATAATTTATCATTTTCTGCAAATAAACAGCTATATTTTTTATTGGTAGCTTGGTCAAAATAATTAGTTTAGAGTATAAAACAAAAACTATACTTTTACTCAAACCCATACCTATCAATCTGTGACGTCAAAAAATTTTTGAACAGGTGCCTTTGGGTGTTTTTTGTATTGTAACCTGCTCCACAGCAAACTGAACATAAAACAGAATTATGATCTGTAAATAATTGTAGATCTGAAACAACGGAATGGTCTTGCGTGCTTGTTCTGTTAAAAATAAAATAACTTTGATTTTCTAAATTTTGGAGGCCCAGTGTCTTTTTTTTTTGTCTCAGCTGTGCTGGCCAGCCAAATCTGTATCATCTTTGAATGACACATAAGAGTTGCACTTTAGGCACCTCTGCTATGGTAAAATTAGAAGACAAAAAAATTTGCTGCAGTATTTAAAAGATTTTGTGGAGTGTATATGCATTGAGAAAAGAGCTGGTTAGAAGAACTTGATCAGCCTTAGCAGGTGACCAAAAACCTAAAAAAATCTAAACTTTTCTGATCACACACAAGTGTGTCCATGTTGCAGTAAAATTTGGATCCTAAGAAGAGAGACATAATTCAAAATCAGCTATTTTTAGCATCAGTAAGGTGAGTATATAAAGTCAGGAAATGTAAAGGAATGTAAAAAAAAAAAAAGAGTGTAAAGGAAAACTGCATCTTCTACAACATGTTGGAAAATATCCGTGGTTCATTCAGGCTACAAGAGAGCAAGACAGATCTGAGCTTAGAGCAGATAAAGGGATACCTGATCAGAGTGTAGGAAAGTTACTTTGTTTTATGCTTTTGATTTTTCAACCTACATGTTGGCAACTTTCTAGAAATCCAGAAAGAGTTAAAGTCTACATTATGTTTGGTTCATAACATGCATTATGAGCCAAAAACACCTGCAGTGCTACCATGCTAGTCTCTAACATTTTGTCTTGGTTTAAATATATAAGTAAAAGATTTTGGATGGACATTGCCTCTGACACTCTGGAAGTACTGCACAGGCATGAGAGAAACGATAGAGGCAGTGAGTTCCGATTTAGATCAAATCAAGCAGACTAGATCAGACCTGCAATGTCTGCAAAGCCCTTGTGAGTTAGGAGCCCCACAGCCCTTAAGAGACATGAAAAGTGTTGTCTTCTGCTGATGTTCACAACACAGCAACAACCCCAAGGCAGTTTTATTCACCAGCAGCAAATCTACTAATTTACTGCTGCACAATCAAAGAACATTGTGAAGAAGGCAAATTACTAGACCTGCAAACCAGCCTCTTCAAATGTAAGCCAAACAAACCCAACACCATTCATTTTAAAAGAATAAATCCTTGGAGTGCAGAGCAGCGTGGGGTGCCTATGTAAACACATAACAAAGCATTTGTTTTTGGAGCCAAGGGATCCATTACCTGAACACATGGCAGATCACAGTCACAAATCCGCAGGGATTGTATTACCTAAGCCATTAGTCGGCCAAAGGCATGAAGGGTGTCAGTACTACACGGCTAATCCAAGCAAACACATGCTGTACACAGTGAACCCCACACCTCCTTTCTTCCCTCCGATAAGTCTCAGTTGAGGACAGACACAACTTCAGCACACATTCCAAATTCAAGCAGTCACAGTCTTACATGTGAATCTGCTCAAGTTCACTGGGAGGAAACATCCTTTCAACAGAAAAATCAAAGTTTTCTCAAAGTAACCGATACTCACAGTTCTTGAATCATTTTACATCTTCCACCTTTGCCAGGGGCCTGAGGCAAACATGTCCATATAAGAGTAAAAAAAACAATGAGTAGTTCACTCAAGCAACTCTTTCACTCTCTGTCTGTTTGAACAAACATCTCTGACTTGTCTTTCCTCTTTCACCTCACACTGCTCCTCTCCTGCTGCATAGACACGCCTCACTCCCCACCATTCTACTCAGGCTGCTAAAGAAGCGACAGGAGAGTCACTGAAGTGACATATGTCGCCAAAGCCTCTCACTTGGCAGAGAAGCTCTCAAATCCCGCGACAATGACCGGGACTAAGGCTGCACAGCGGGGGGGATGCTTGGATGGCGTTTAAAAAACGAGTGTAAAGGAAGTACAGGCATGCCTTATGCTCTCTGTCTCATTCTTTCTCTTGATTTCCTAGATCCTTCCAATATCCCCTCCGCAAATCATGAAAGCCCATTTTAACTCAGCTTGTTCCCAGTGATTTTAATGCAATGAGTCTTACAGTCCAATTGACAAGAGGGCAAAGTCATCTGGTACTACTGAGCCCAACATCTTTTGTGCTTTAATTTCCATGCATCAGTTTAGGCGTGTTGATAGATGGAACATTGGGGAAAACTTTCAGAGAGAGACTCAATGCTATGGATACAAATCAAGTCTTTTCTTCCTCTTAATATTTTTTATAAATGTTATTTACATTTAAGTGTGGCTTTTTATCTCTAGAAAACCAATTTAGTTTTCATCAGCGTCTCTTTTCAAGCATTTCCAAACAATTTATATCTGTGGTTTTACGTAAAGTCCCCCAAGAGACATAATACCAGACAATACAATATAAAGCATTGAAATTGGACAACCAGGTAGATCAGTTATTTTTACAAGTGCAACTTGTACAAAATAATTTGTTAAATCAAATGAAGACATTACTAAAGTAGGATTTTTTTTTCCTTTTGCATTGCTTAAGTCATAAATCAATGCATTAAATTTTCTATATCCAAGTACGTTTCATTTTTATTTATGACATAGCATACAAAAAACCTTGTCTCATCTTGGTGTAAATATTTATCTTGTAGGAAAAAACTGCTGTCAAATTATATTTTCAAATTTGTGTATCAAGGCTGTAGCCCCTTGCTGGGTAATGTTAAACCAAACAAACAGGACAAACCAGTGTACAAACTGAGCATTCACCCACACACTACTAACTGTGTATTTTCTCTAATAATAATAATTTAAGCCGTAATTGCTGATAACAGCTGGGTGTTATCCACTAACAGAGCCACTTTACCTTTAAATTTTGTAATAAAAAAACAAGGTAGGGCTGTCCAGAGTAGGGCTGCACAACATTTGAATTGCTCTTCTACTTTATTAAGGCTTCCAACTGTGACATGCTGCATTTTTAGTACCATCATCCATATCAGCTGTGCACACTGAGACTCCATCAATAGACCGACTCTGTTATTGGCATGCAAAGTGTTTATTCGCAACTGGAAATAACTGCAATATTGCCTTCCAAACAA